GCTAATCTAGGTTGTTTTATTTTCTTCTTTTTCAAAGGAGCAACAGAGTCTAATTTTATTCGCAGCGCATCTGTAGCACTATCAACAACATGATCAATTTGGGGTGGTGTACATTTTGACTGAAAACTCATCTCTTTCGACTCCACCTCGAGCGATAGAATTATTAACAAATCACTTATATACTAATAAAGGACTGGCTTACCTAAAGCCAGTTGAGTAGCACTTGAAATGTTTGGCTCTATGAAACCTGATGTACTTTATGATTCTGTTTTCTTCAAGGTTGTGTCTTCCTGGTCGAATGTACTTATTGTAAGTCGCTTTGGATAAAAGCCTCAGCTAAATGCAATGTAATGTAATGTAATGTATAAGTTTCCTCCCTTACATGCAGACATGCTATCGAGTTAAGTATTGGTGGAATCTCTTCCTTAAATGTGGCTATAGCACTAACAGATAGGTTTCTGCTGCAGGAGCTTTTGACTAATGCTTTGTAGTCTCGTAACAGCACTTCAAAAGTTACTAAGAAATGGTCGGATAAAGCAGGATTATGCGGTTCGACTAATAGTTGCTCAATTTCAATACCATAGTCAGAACAAGGTCGAGAGTGTGATTATAGCAGTGGGTTGGTTTATTTACACTCTGACAGAAACCAACAGAATCTAATATAGAGTTAAATGCAACAGTAAGGCTATTTTTATCATCGTCAACATGAATATTAAGTCACCTACGATAATTACTTTATCTGTTTTAAGAACCAAAGTTGATAAAAACTCAGAGAATTCAGATAAGAATTCTGAATAAGGACCTGGTGCACGGTACACTGTAACAAATAAGATTTGTCGGATGCGTAAGACTAAAAACGAGACTTTCAAAGGAGGTATCATTTAATTTTGGTTTAGTATTGATAAGTAAACTTGAGTCAAAGATTGCTGCAACTCCACCTCCCTCGGCCCGCTGCCTCGGGCAATATGAGTATTGATATGGCTGGGTGGAGTGGCCTCATTTATGCTGACATATTCTTCATGTCTCAACCAAGTTTCAGTGAGACAGCATATATCAATATTATAATCTGATATTAAATCATTTACCAATATTGCTTTAGATGCTAGAGATCTTATGTTTAAGAGACCACATTTAATCTTCCTGTTTTGTTGCACTGTAGTAGTTGTTACATTTACTTTGATTAGGTTATTATGTATGACACCTCTATTAGGTTTTACCTTAACTTGTCCTTGGGCAGACACACACACCGCTAATATTGGGTATTTTATTGGGTTGGGGATTCCTATGGATGACTGCCTAGGAGAGAGCGCAGAGAAGCGTGTAAGACTGCGACTCCGCCTCCTGGTCTCAACTCCAGTTTGTCATGGATTAAGTCCACAAAGCCCTGAAATGTTTGCCGAAATGAGATGTGCACCTTCCAAAGTAGGATGAATGCCGTCTCTCTTAATCAGACCAGGTTTTCCCCAGAAGGCTGTCCAATTATTTACCAAGCCCACATTGTTTGCTGGGCACCACCAAGACAACCAGCGCTGAAATGATGACATGCGGCTATACATGTCATCATTGATCAGATTGGGGAGGGGACCAGAGAAGATTACGGTGTCCGACATTGTTTTAGCATAACTACACACCGACTCCACATTAAGTTTGGTGCATTCTGATTGGCGTATACGAACATCATTACCACCGACGTGAATAACAATCCTACTGAATTGGAACCAGGTTCAGGTCTGGAGAGGGGGGGGGTCTCAGTGAATTGGAACCAGGTGCAGGTCTGGAGGGGGGTCTCAGTGAATTGGAACCAGGTGCAGGTCTGGAGGGGGGGGGGGGGGGGTCTCAGTGAATTGGAACCAGGTGCAGGTCTGGAGGTGGGTCTCAGTGAATTGGAACCAGGTGCAGGTCTGGAGGGGGGGGGGGGGTCTCAGTGAATTGGAAACCAGGTGCAGAGGTCTGAGGTGGGTCTCAGTGAATTGGAACCAGGTGCAGGTCTGGAGGGGGGGGGGGGTCTCAGTGAATTGGAACCAGGTGCAGAGGTCTGGAGGGGGGTCTCAGTGAATTGGAACCAGGTGCAGGTCTGGAGGGGGGGGGGGGGTCTCAGTGAATTGGAACCAGGTGCAGGTCTGGGAGGGGGGGGGGGGTCTCAGTGAATTGGAACCAGGTGCAGGTCTGGAGGTTGGGTCTCAGTGAATTGGAACCAGGTGCAGGTCTGGAGGGGGGGGGGGGTCTCAGTGAATTGGAACCAGGTGCAGGTCTGGAGGGGGGTCTCAGTGAATTGGAACCAGGTGCAGGTCTGGAGGGGGGGGGGGGGGGTCTCAGTGAATTGGAACCAGGTGCAGGTCTGGAGGGGGGTCTCAGGGAATTGGAAACCAGGTGCAGGGTCTGGAGGGGGGGGGGGGTCTCAGTGAATTGGAACCAGGTGCAAGGTCTGGAGGGGGGGGGGGTCTCAGTGAATTGGAACCAGGTGCAGGTCTGGAGGGGGGTCTCTGTGAATTGGAACCAGGTGCAGGTCTGGAGGGGGGTCTCAGTGAATTGGAACCAGGTGCAGGTCTGGAGGGGGGTTCTCAGAGCAGAAACAGCAGCTCTCACATCTCTAATAGGATCCCTCTTATGCGCCAGCGGACGTCGTACATGGATCAGGGACACTTCTGTATTATCTAACTGAACTAATGAAGATCATTTCAAATCAATTCAATGTAATTACTGTTTTATTTTAACTATATTTTTCCTTATTTTGTAATGTTATTATAGTTTTCTTAAAATAGTTTGTCTTATTGTATGTCTGCACCACGACACCACGTCACTGTGAACCCACCTGGAGGTACACCTGAGTCTGGTCATTGTGCTCCACACTCCTATCAGCAGGGGGCGGTAATGCTCCTTTAAACGCTGCCACCCGCCATTAGACCGTACCAAGAAGAAGCAGTAGCAGAAAAGGAAGAAGAGGAGTAAGAAGAGGAGGAAGAAGAGGAGGAAGAAGAGGAGGAAGAAGAGGAGGAAGAAGAGGAGTACCAGGTGAGATACGGGTCGCGGGGAATTCTCCAGAAATCTGCTCCTCTCCTCTGTGTGACGTCACGGGGTTAAGGGGTGAGGATAGGAGAAATCAAAATGGAGTTGTTTTGCTCTTTATGAACGGGACAACGGAAAAACATATTCTGCATGAGGTTGAAACTGAAACGTATCCCCCCCCCTCTCAACCCCCCCCCCCCACGTATTAATCCGTCATATTTTAAAATGAAATATAAATGTATTTATGATAAATGTGTTAGTCCTTAACCTATCACTGTGTATATATTCAAACATGCTTTAAAGGTGTATTAATCACATTGTCATTAGGACCACAGGTCCTGGTGCAACATCCTTTCCACAGGATTAATAGGGTTACAGTAATAACTACTGTCTTTAAATAAAGACAGTAGTTATTACTTTATTAACAAAGCATAGAATTACTAACAAAGCACTTCTATACTAATAAAGGACTGGCTTACCTAAACCTGTTGAGTAACCTAGTAACCTAGTACCCTAACCCTCTCAGCTAAAATGTGATGTAATGTAATGTTTATTAAAGACAGTCATAAACTGTGGAACTACTTTCAGCAGAATAACTTCCAAAGTACAGATGGTGTTTTAACATCAGAAGATATTAAAGGTCCCATTTTCTCCTGATCATAGTTCCATCGTTGAGGTCGACTGGAATAGATGTACATTGTTCAATGTTCCAAACTCACATTGGTTCTCACAGCATCTCTGTGTAGTCTGTGTATTCATCTCTGTCCTACACGGTTTTGTTGGAGCTCCACAGGAGCGGACAGTGTGAGCTGGGTTAGTGATGCCAGGCTCCGGGTGTGTGTGTGTGTGCGTGTGTGTGTGGTTGTGTGCGTGTGTGTGTGGTGTGTGTGTGTGTGTGTGTGGTGTGTGTGTGTCTCGCTGACCCCACGCAGTCAAACCAGGAAACCACACCAGTAATCCAGCTCACAGTGTCTGCTCCTCGAGCCCCCCAACGTCCCCCAACACGGCCCCCAGACCCCACGCAGCATTCTCATCTGTTTGTCATTGCTGGGGTCCGCAGCGTTACGTCACTAAGAAGCAAACAATGGAGAAAGAGAGATCTCCAGCGAGGCGTTCTGGGGCAGACAGGTCTTCTCTGAGTCAGAGTGTTGCTCCCTACAGGGAGCACTTTGAGGGTTTGGACTCTGCAGAGCGTTCACATGCAGAAGCTACAGAACACAAGGGGACGGGTCAGAAGCTACAGAACACAAGGGGACGGGTCAGAAGCTACAGAACACAAGGGGACGGGTCAGAAGCTACAGAACACAAGGGGCCGGGTCAGAAGCTACAGAACACAAGGGGACGGGTCAGAAGCTACAGAACACAAGGGGACGGGTCAGAAGCTACAGAACCACAAGGGACGGGTCAGAAGCTACAGAACCACAAGGGACGGGTCAGAAGCGTACAGAAACAAGGGGACGGGGTCAAGAAGCTACAGAACACAAGGGGAGGGGTCAGAGAAGCTACAGAACACAAGGGGGACAGGTCCGAAGCTACAGAACACAAGGGGATGGGTCAAGAAGCTACAGAACACAAGGGGACGGGTCAGAACCAGAGAAGGGCAGGACACGGGACCTCTAAGAACATCAGAAGATATAGTGTATGAACCTCCTGAGGTTGTAAACACACCTTTGACCTTTGTTTGAAAGTGACTCTTCTGTTTCTCCTCCAGAAGACTTCAACATGGCCGACGCCTGGAAAGAAGCCATGGAGCTGGCAGAGAAAACACGCGAGGAGAGAGGGGGAGGTGGTGTGTTGTGTGTGTGTGTGTGTGATGAGTGTGTGTGTGTGTGTGGTTGTGTGTGTGTGTGTGTGTGTGTGTGTGTGTGGTGTGTGTGTGTGTGTGTGTGTGTGTGTGTGTGTTGTGTGTGTGTGTGTGTGTGTGTGTGTGTGTGTGTGTGTGTGTGTGTGTGCGTGCGTGCGTGCGTGTGTGTGTTTCAGTGGTCACCTAAGTATTCCAGTCCTGTATGTTGCATGTTTTTATTTGATTATATTTACTTGTTTAAAATGAAATGTATCTTCAGATTGACTAACAAAATCTGTCAGGACTACAGATGAAAAATAACTGTGTGTGTGTGTGTGTGTGTGTGTGTGTGTGTGTGTGTGTGTGTTTGTAGGTGGTGTGTGCTGCGCTGCAGGTGGAGCGCTCTGTGATGACGAAGAGCTGCTCGGTGGATTTGGTGACTCAGACTGACCAGCAGGTGGAGCAGCTGATCATCCAATCAGTGAGGGACAAGTTCCAACGCACAGGTGAGAAGCCCCGCCCCTTCACATGCCAAGCCCCCACCCCCTCACAGTTTGTTTATAGAGTGTGTGTGGTTGTGTAGGTTCATAGGGGAGGAGTCAGTAGCTGCAGGTGAGCCCTGTGTCCCTGACTGATGAGCCCACCTGGATCATCGACCCCCATCGACGGGACCACCAACTTCGTGCACGCGTGAGTTTAAATCTACTTCCTGCCTGGGTTTAAATCTACTTCCTGCCTGGGTTTAAAATCTACTTCCTGCCTGGGTTTAACTCCGTGTTAGCTGTGGAGGGTGTGTATTGATTCACCTGTGTGACTCACTGATCCTCTGCTCTGTAGATTCCCTTTTGTTGCTGTTTCCATCGGCTTCTCTGTCAACAAGCAGGTGAGACTGCACCAACACCTGGGGGGTATACTACGAAGCAGGATTTTCGCTTAGCGGCTAAATTCAGGGAAAACTCCGGCTTTCCGGTCCTACGACGCTGGTTCTCTTTTTAGCGGCTAGATCTCCATGGTAACTGATGCTGAACGGCTAACCTGCCCCGGAGCAGGTTAGGTTGCAGGATAAGAGCTCAACTCACTGAAAGCACCGCCTGCTGACCAATCAGAGCTCAGTGTGCGGAGTTTAAAGCGATCAAGTCATATTACAGGAGAAAGGAAATACAGAAAAGCTGCCGTCGCAGGAAAGACGGCCGGCAAAAATCAGCGACTGTGTGAACGTGAACATGAATAGAATATCAGCTCCATCTTCAGAGCAATCTGACTATTATAACATTAGCGTTAAGAAAGCTTACTGAAATATCTGCCACAACATAAGTAACCGGATCAGAGTCACATTAAGTACAGTCCATATCACTTCATAATGTATCATCTCCTGATCTGAGTCAGCTGAGCCGTATCTGGCCGTGCAACACTCACAGCGTCACAGACTGGAGGCAGAAGCATTATTTGAAGCAACACATTAAGTTGAGGAAACACTGGAGTCAAATGTAATGAAAGTCAGATGGTGTCTTAGACGGGCAGTGATATCATAAAGCTGTTAATGTACGCATTCAAACACTTGTTCTGTTCCCAGCTGTGTTCACCTTGCAGGTGCAGCTCTGTGGCTTTGATCCTGGATCAAGTGTTTAAGTCAGGGTAGCCCAACCTTTTTTGAACCGAGAGCTACTTTTAAAGTTGCCAGTCTGCCGAGATCTACCAGTCCAAATAGAGAGGCATTACTGACAGCCTACTACCAGGTAAATACACACTTCTACTTGAATAAAACTGACCTTTGTACGATTAATACTTCATAAAATACTGCAGATTCTTTATTTTACCTCTTTCTAATCTACACAAGTATTTAACTGAAGTTACACAACAGTGCTGTTGATACAGAGTTGGAGTTTATCCACACGTCACTACAGTGGTCATGTTTTGAAGAAGCATTGAACAGTGCTGCCTCATATGACTCAGGAACAAAAGACTCTGAACCCTTTCTTTGCCATTATATAAAAATAGTGTTGCTACAAAAGTATAAATGAGGCTTCCTAATAAGACGACTCAGATCTGAAGCTGCTCAGGAATCTGCTGCCAAAGTGCAATAAAAAAGACAACATTAATCAAACCCTTTTTTTGTTGCATTTTATTAGAGTATAAAAATAAATGCCTTTAAAATAGGATGCAAGCAACACTAGCTTCTTAACCTGAATTGATAATAGACTATAATCAATTTAAGTTTGCATTCTTATAACATTTTGTACAATAATTATAATGAATAAGTTCAAACAAACTCAAACTCACAGCTGATTAATAACGGTATCTAACTTGAGTTTTTATCATATCAAAAACCTGTTGAAATGCTTCTGTTATTTTCATTACGCAGCCTCCAGGAAAGCTTCTTTCACAACTTCGCCGTCTTTGAAAGACTTCATGTGTTTCGCAAGAACGTGACTGACACGATAAGATGCTCTGGTAGCAGCCTTGCTCTTGTTGTTGGGCCTGGTGGAAATGGACTGCTGTGCATTTAGCTGTCCTCTCAGGCCCCTCCCCTTTTGGAGCGTAGGGCAGAATCAGGAGGGAATTCCGTCTCGTAGCGTTTGTGCACTGTTTTGAAATGCCGCTCCTAAATGACCCTTCTTCGATAAAGCCACGCTCGCATTGCAGATGAGACAGATGGACTTTGAATTGGAATAGATACAAAAATAATCATCCTCCCACTCGGAGTGACAATTATATATTTTGGGCTTTTTTGCTTCTGCCATAATTGCGGTCTTGTGTTGTGTGCGGACTGTCACTCCTGTTGACACGGACTGCTTCTCAGGTCGATTAAATGAAATCCTTGCGTACCTCACTTGCGTCGTTTCCCTGCGTCTAGTCCCTCCCACCAGGGAAGCAAGGAGAGACGCAAGGAAACCACGAGAAGCAGACAAATGAGTTTTAAGAGCAATGGGACGTCCTTTCCTCCGGAGCATCACGTGAAGCGACATCCGTTTGTGATGACGCTGCACAGCTGATCGTCTGACAGCAGCTCTGTCCCCCGTTGTTTTCACAAACAACCCCGCCTCTGTTAGTACAACATTTACTGACACCAAACATGTGTATCATTTGTTGTAGACCCAAATACATGAAATAAAATAAGAACTCATTCTCAAAAAAGATAAACGCCATTCTTAAAATGTTTAAACGAACAATAGTTAGATTAATATTGATCAGAGTGCACAAAAGAAATACAATAATTGAGAGAAGAAAAAGAGATATGTTATCTATCAAAACCCAGTTAGATGAACATTCATTGCACACTTTGTGTGTTTGTGTGGATATGCAGCACATTAACATTTCAATAGCACTTAATGACTAAATGGAAATGACAATAAATGAAAATGTAAAACAAAAAAAGCGATCATAAAAATGTTTCCAATAAATGAATAAAATGATTTTTGACCACTTAGTTGTTCAGATATTTCACATATTTGTAACTAAATGAAACATGAATTGAAACAAAACACGGTATAAACTGAGGAGTGAGTCCCGTGAGGTTCATGTGTTTTCTTCACTCCGCTGGGAAACCGCTCTCATGTCAAGAAGCATCAGATCAGTGCATGCACTGCCTCGTCCAATCAGTGAGTGATACACAGTAAGGGGGTGGGGCGAGTGTCTGAGGATTTCATCGGAGGATGGTCTGGTGGTTCCTCGGTTATCGCTCCTCCATGATCGCTCCTCGCTCCTCGCTCCTCGATCCTCGATCCTCGCTCCTCGATCCTCGCTCCTCGGTCCTCCGGCAGAAATAAGAGCCATGGGACGGTACTCAAGATGGCGCAGGCAAATCAACTTCCGGTAAGACCGAGGAGCGAGGAAATGAAAATAGTCGACCTGAGAAGCAGCCACGGTCGGACAACAACGTCAGCGAAATAGTGCCCACTGCCTACCAGCCACGCCCCGACACATGGGGTCATGCCGGCCAATCACAAAGCTTTGATGCGTTCAAGTGCATTATTCTTGCACAGGAACATTATGTTACAGGACATTAACGATAAAACAGAATGTTGTTGTTCTATTTTTAGACACATCTCGCGATCGACTGGGAATCTCCTCGCGATCGACCGGTCGATCGCGATCGACTAGTTGGGCACCCCTGGTTTAAGTCATGGATGTTTAAAGTTTAACTTCTTCATTTTTGACTAGTATTAAAGTTCACTTTTGATTCAGGAAGTATGACGCTACGCTGTCAGTACGCTTCTCCATGTCTGTGATTGGTCGAATGCTCCAGATACCACCCCTCTCATGTGAACGCGCACCTAACTAGATAGGACACGGCTGGTTTGAGCGATCCACTTGATAACCAGCGTCGAGGACCGCTTAGCGAGAGCGTGTATGTTTTGGATTAGGCCAACCGGCTAACTCGAACATATCCAGGTTAGGTTGAACCAGCTTCGTAGTACAGGCCCCTGTTCCTGTACAAGTGTGTATACATATATACACACACACACGTATACACAAACACATATATACACACCTGAGGCCTGTACTACGACGCTGGTTCTCTTTTTAGCGGGCTAGATCTCCATGGTAACTGATGCTGAATGGCTAACCTGCTCCGGAGCAGGTTAGGTTGCAGGCTAAGAGATCAACTCACTGAAAGCACTGCCTGCTGACCAATCAGAGCTCAGTGTGCGGAGTTTAAAGCGATCAAGTCATATTACAGAAGAAAGGAAATACAGAAAAGTACATTAAGTACAGTCCGCGGCATATCACTTCATAATGTATCATCTCCTGATCTGAGTCAGCTGAGCCGTATCTAGCCGTGCAACACTCACAGTGTCACAGACTGGATGCAGAAGGATTATTTTAAGCAACACATTAAGTTGAGGAAACACTGGAGACAAATGTAATGAAAGTCAGATGGTGTCTTAGACGGGCAGTGATATCATAAAGCTGTTAATGTACGCATTCAAACACTTGTTCTGTTCCCAGCTGTGTTCACCTTGCAGGTGCAGCTCTGTGGCTTTGATCCTGGATCAAGTGTTTAAGTCATGGATGTTTAAACTTTAACTTCTTCATTTTTGACTAGTATAAAGTTCACTTTTCATTCAGGAAGTATGACGCTGCGCTGTCAGTGCGCTTCTTCCATGTCTGTGATTGGTCGAATGCCTCCAGATACCACCCCTCTCATGGTGAACACCTAGCTAGATAGGACACGGCTGGCTTGAGCGATCCACTTGATAACCCGCGTCGTACGACCGCTTAGCGAGAGCGCGTATGTTTTGGATTAGGCCAACCGGCTAACTCGAACATATCCAGGTTGGAAACCAGCTTCGTAGTACAGGCCTCTGGTCCTGTACAAGTGGTGTACACACACACACACACCACACACACACACACACACACACACACACACACACACACAACACACACACCACACACACACACACACACCAGCCATAACATTATATATATATACAGTGGGGCAAAAAAGTATTTAGTCAGCCACCAATTGTGCAAGTTCTCCCACTTAAAAAGATGAGAGGCCTGTAATGTTCATCCTAGCTACACTTCAACTATGAGAGACAGGATGGGGGAAAGAATCCAGGAAATCACATTGTAGGATTTTTAAAGAATTTATTTGCAAATGATGGTGGAAAATAAGTATTTGGTCAATAACAAAAGTTCATCTCAATACTTTGTTATATACCCTTTGTTGGCAATGACAGAGGTCAACGTTTCTGTAAGTCTTCACAAGGTGTTCACACACTGTTGCTGGTATGTTGGCCCATTCCTCCATGCAGATCTCCTCTAGAGCAGTGATGTTTTGGGGCTGTCGCTGGGCAACACGGACTTTCAACTCCCTCCAAAGATTTTCTATGGGGTTGAGATCTGGAGACTGGCTAGGCCACTCCAGGACCTTGA